AAATACTTATTTACATTGTTTGTAGAAAAAATGAATCATATATATATATATATATATATATGATAGGATATTGTGACACACAAATAATATTACACACAATATTACGACCACATCTTAACCGTTGATTTCCTCCAATCACCGGTTATCATTTATTGCGAATTAATAATTAATTAATTAATTTGATTTGAAATATGATAACCGTTGATTGGCGGAAATCAACGGTTAAGATGTGGTCGTAACATTGTGCGTAACATTATTTGTGTGTCACAATATCCTATCCCTATATACATACATATGGAAATATATTTCTTATGTTGCATGAAATAATTTATCTCATGCAACACACACAAAAGTGGGTATGACCCATTATTTTATTTCTATCTCTTCACCTTAGTGGGTCCCACCCACTATTTTGTGTGTTACATTGTATGAGACAACACACACATATATGGGATATGATCCATTGACACTGGTGTCAAACTTTGAAATTTAATACCAAATCTTAACCGTTGATTTTCAACAATCAACGGTTATCATTTCTTGAAAATTACTAATTAATTAATAAGTTTGATTTGCGAAAATAATAACCATTGACTGACGGAAATCAACGGTTAAGATATGGTTGTAAGAGGTTGTAAACGAAAATAAGTTGCAAATATAATTAGGGATAGGTTATTCTGTCTACTTCTATTTTACCTACCTTTGCCTACCCGTGTCATTACCGTCCGATTATAATCTAATACAACGGTCCATATTTACGAAATAAATTAAATCATTTTTCCCTTTCTTTCTCCTCACTTCCTCCCACACCATTTCTCTCTTCCCTTTTCTCTTTTCCTCTACGCCATACCTATTTTTTTTCCTTCAACGCTGGTTCTACTGCTGTGGACCTCTTTAACCCCCCACCCTCTCCAACTCCATGTCAAGTGAGAAGCTTTTCAACTTAAGAAAAGGAATTTGATAAAAAAAACCCTTCCTTTTTCTGCAACTTTATCCAAAGCGGCGGTGCCACAAGGTGGGTTCTTCAATCTCTACCTCACAACTTGCTGTTTAGTTGTTTTCCATGGTGGCGCAAATTGGGAATTGGTAAAACTTTCCCGTTAATTGCTTGTGTCTGCTGTCGTGAACAATTTTTTTATCGCTTGTGACATCAAGTTATGTTCATATATCTTGGAGCCTCTATTTCCACAAAAGTAAAGATGAAATTAACACAGCCCAATTCATGTAAATTTAGTCGACCAGAGATTCCTTTTTCATCTGTTCTAAACTTCTAAAATAAGTAATCCTGCAAAGCATTACTTAAGGGAAATTACTTAAGGGACTCTTAAATGAGGACTTGCATTAGCATATATGAAAATATAAGCAGTCCACGGCGGCAGACACCAGTGATGAAGGGAAAAAAAATAAGATGAGAGAGAAAGGGTGTGGGAGAAATGAGGAGAAAGAAAGGGGGAAAAAAGGTTTATTTTATTCGCAAATATGGACCGTTGTATTAGATTGTAATTGGACGATAATGACAGGGGTAAGCAAAGGTAGGTAAAATGGGAGTAAGCAGAATAACCTATCTCATATAATTATCCTTTCTCTCTATATATATATATATATATATATATATATATATATATATATATATATATATATATATAGTAAATACCCTTTTTATTCCCTGGAAATTTTCACGAAGCACAATTTAGTCCCTCGGTATAAAAAAGTCACATTTCAGTGTCTAATTTTTGAAAAAAAAGGGACACGTTTGTCCTTCTGTTACATGGAATGTGACGGCCCACTTGACGGAGGCCAGCTGGAACGTTAAGTGGCTGAGTCACTAACGTCACAGCCACGTGGAGAGAAAGCGACGTCGTTCAGATAGATGCCTTGTGTCTATCCCAATGTTTGGACAGGTGACCCTTGCATGAAAGGGTTAGTGACCTAAATTAGTCCCTGTCAAATTAGGAACCCTAAATCAGCCTAAGCCATGAACAAAAAAACCCCCAAAAGCTCCCCACGATGAAGATTGAAAATAGTGTGAAGTAGAAGGTGTTTACTGGTTATTTTCTGGTACGTAGAAGAAGATGAGTATGTCATCTGGCTTGGGGGGGATCAAGTGGGAGTACGTCTTTTGGGTGTAGAACAACCTCACGGACTGGCGGTCGAAGGTGCAAATGTGGGAGGCAAACAATCGTCTATACCTCCAAAACAGAGAGAAACCCAAATAGGGCATTCTTTGGGTGCCCTAATTTCAAGGTATACATTTGTAAATTGAGTTTTGATAACTTGGAATATTTGCTTACCGTGGTTTGCATTTTTGGCAGGATAAGAAGCCCTTTTGTAATTTTTTTAGATGGGTAGATGATGTATGTAATGAAAGGCTGGAGCTTGAAGATGGAAGAATGAACAAGGTGGACTTGGATGTTGCTGAAATGGATTTCAAGCTTCAGTATGTGGACATGATGATTAGTGACCAATTGCAAGCTAAGTTGAATGACCAAGGTGTGAAGATTAGTGAGCAAGAACTGAGTATCAAGGTGCAGGAAAGAAAGCTGAATGAGCTATACCTGAAGATGGTGGAGGAGTTAGATAGGATGGAGAAGGAAATTAAGCATGTTGGTAGGGCAGCTAGGGTCTTAGTTGCTGCTTGTGTAGGGTTTTTGATGATTTGTTTTTTTATTGCAATTGTTGTAACAATTAAATGTAGTGGACGAAATGTTTTTTCTTCTTCAATGAAATGTAATGAAAATGTAGTTCTGTTTTTTGATGATTAAAGTTCACAAGATGCCATGATTATATGGCTTTGTATTTCTGTTTTTTGTTCTATAAAATGTGATTTTGTGTATACTGGTAACTTCATGATATACTAAGACCCTATTTCAATAGCAATTGAACTAAGTTATGGAGTAATACAGCCCACATGGCAATCATCATATGAAGTTTATTCCTTTTAACTATTCCACTGTCATGATGGGGCATAAGCATTTTTATCTGCATAGTGAGGGTGGACTGATGTTATGTGGTGGTACATGGACATTACAGATAAATGACAGTTGGATGTAGTGAAATATCCAGTCAAATCCTTGTTGCAAATGGGAAATTGAGAAGTGGACATTGGTATCTAATGATGAAAAACTAAACCCAATTTGGTCCCTGACAATTTGTATCGGGGGCCAATTTAGTCCCTGACAAATGCCATCGGGGCCCTATTTGGTGCCTGATAGTTAAAAAATGGACATGAGTTGTTTAGAGCAAAAAGGGTATGCCAGTAACACAAACAATTAAAAGTCTCAGTAGGAATATGCTGAAGTGAAACATGACCTGCATATGTAGCAAACATGACCTGCATATGTAGCAGACAAAATTTGAGAACCGAATTCCCAATGCAACTAACATGACCTGTAGTAAAATTATAGTCAAAAATTTGACAGTACACAAACATAAACCAGCAAATTCCCAATGGTAGCAATGTAACTCAAACCACATATTCAACTTCAAACCAGCAAATACCAACCCCATCACATTTAACACCTGCATTGTAACTCATTGTATCACAAACTTTTTCCAAAAACATATACTAAGAATCAAAAATACTCATACAGAGATTCAAAAAGTGCAATACAGAGACATATTGCAGCAAAGGGAAAAAATGATTTTAAAAAAAGGAACTTGTAGTCATTGAAGGAGGAACTTGTAGTCATTTACATTCTAAAATTACAAGACTTCCCAAAAGAGAACTATTCCCCTATTTTTTTTTTTGCTTCAAAATACACCCAAACAGAGACATATTGTGATTCAAAAAAAAGCAAGTACTTCACCTAAAGGCCTTAAATACAAAAATAATAATGGGGGTACAGCTGACAGTTATTACAATTCAAAAAATTAGGTATTAAGGACCATTGTTGCCTATACAACAAAAATTGAACCCCTATACAAAAAACTGATCATCTTCATTCAAGCTGGTCTTGGTGGCCTAAACCCAGGTGTGGCCAAGAATGCCATAAGCCTGCTCCTTGTGCCACTGCTTGTTGCATTGACAGTTTCGGTTGACAATTGTTCTGCTGGTGGTGGGGCAGTAAGTGGTGGGCTGTTGCCCCTAATGGCTTCCTCAGCTGCCTGGGACTGCCTTGAAGGTCCTCCTTGACTCAAAGGGATCTCCTCTTCATGTGGAGCTGCTATGTTCACATTAACTGCATGTGAAGGTGCTGCTGCTCTCCTCCCTCTCTTGCTTGCAGCTGGTCCCTTTTCAAGAACACATAACCCGACATCCAAATCACTCTCACTAGGCTTCAGCCACAACATCTGTTTACACCTTTGATAGCCAAACCCCTTGAACAGAGTATCAAGGTCACGCAAGTTGACATAATCTGCATCCATCTTAGGTAATTCATCCACTCTCCCATTTACATAAGTGAGCTTTTCTTTGTCATTCCTAACCAACACACCCTCATGATGATATCTTATGACTATATATTCATCCATCTGCATAGAAAACAGAACATAATCATTTTTTACACTACCTTAATATTAATTTACAATATCATACAACCAATCAATTTTTATCAATATTACTATACAACTGTAACACACTCAGTTATTTTAAATGGCTGCATTGCTAAAAATTGGGGTTTTTTTTGTAATCACTACACATAGCAACTTAAAATAACAACAGGGGGACCACATGCAACAAGTTCCGAAAATATTCTACTAAAGGGGACCACATCAAAAAAAACCCTAACCATCTCTTGCCCTTAACTGCACATGGGGGACCACATTAAGCAAAAACACAATGAACTAAAAGGATAGATGGACCACAGATAATAAAGAAAAGGTTTCTCTCACGTACCTTGCACGAATGTCACCACAGTCACAACCATTTTAAGGATCTTCACCCTAAACCACACTACTTCCAAAAGTTTGCAACTGCAGAAGCCACGTACAACAACAAAGCACCGTAGGTCACCAACCTTCACTGCAAATGAAGCTCACGAGCTGAGGAAATGGGGGAGGAAATGGCGGGTATGGACAAGTTACTTGTCTGACTGTGTTAATTGAGTCAACAACAAAGGTTCAAGAAGTCTATGCCAAAAACGACGTCGTCCCCTTCTACACACCTGATACAGCCTTCCAATGTAAGACGACGTCGTTCCTTTTTTCAAAAATCAGACACTGAAATGTGACTTTTTTTTACCGAGGGACTAAATTGTGCTTCGTGAAAATTTTCAGGGACGAAAAATGGTATTTACTCATATATATATATATATATATATATATATATATATATATATGAATTTATTGTTTTTCATGTCACATCACATAAATTTAGGTCATGTCACCTCAAAATTAACTCGTTTTGGGAGTTAGAAAAATTAATGAATGGAGTTTTACTATTTGTGTTTGTTTATTTATTATATGAATTTGGGTTAGGATATTGTAAAAACCAAATAAAGTTATTATCACGTTACTACCAACCAATCTCACCGTTAGATTGGTAGTAACGATCCAACAGTCCTGATTAGATCATTAGGATATTATAACAACCAAATAAAGTTACTACCATATTACTATCAACCAATCTCACCGTTAGATTAGTAGTAACGATCTAACGGTTCAGATTAGATCCTTATAAGGCCCCGTCTCTTCCCTTCTCTCTCACTATACTCTCTGCCCATCACCGCGGCTGAGCCGCCGCACTCTTCCGCCGCCATCGCTGCCTACTGCAGACCCACCGCCGTTGATCCCTCTCAGAGTTGTGCGCCCTTCACTCTTCCCTTTTCTCTCTCTCTCACACTATACTCTCTGCCCACCATCGCCTTCGCTGCCCATCTCCGTCGCCGAGCCGCCGCACTCTACCGTTGCCGTCGCCGCACTCCACACATTGCAAGGTGCGTACTTTACTTTTTTTTTTTGATAACAAAAATGATGCTCTCTTTTTGATCTTTAAATTATGCTAATTCTTTGTGTATCCTCCTCCAGTACCAATTTAAAGAATATCTGTCCTATAGAGGGCAGTAGCGTCTACTATCCTTTTTTTTTTTTTTGATCACCAAAATGATGCTCTCTTTTTATTATTTGGGTCTTGCATGCAGTGGCTGGAAACCATATTCAGAAGGGGGCACGATTAGTATACAACATAGCCATTATCAACCATTATTTTTTGGGTATATTTTTTATATTGTAGTAATTTTCTTTGCTTAGATAGTTTTTTGCCAAAATCTACATATCAAGTTACCATTGCGGTAAGACCAAATAAAGTAATTAGAATCATGTAAGACACAACAAAACAATTATCCAAGCAATGGTAACTTGATAATTGTTTCAACCAATATGTTACATTATTCTGTTACTAAATTACAGTATTGTAGAGCTTTCTGCATATGTTTTGATTGCATGTCTTTAGCTTGGAAGATGTTGTCTTTGTTCAATTTTGCAAAGGCTTGCCCTATGATATAGAAATTTGTTGTCATGATCTTTTGTTTCTATTTTCACTCTTTCTTGTGTGTATATTTTATTAAAGTAGCACCTGGGGTTGTGAGAAACTTCTTGTTTTTACTCCAAGTATGGTCAATTTTAGTGGACTAATTATTTGCTTTTATACTGCAGTACCTTTAATATTGGCACAAGGTTTGTGGATGGAAGAGCTCCATATCCAATCTTCCTTGCTTAATGCTTTCAACCAATATGTTACATTATTCTGTTACTAAATTACAGTATTGTAGAGCTTTCTGCATATGTTTTGATTGCATGTCTTTAGCTTGGAAGATGTTGTCTTTGTTCAATTTTGCAAAGGCTTGCCCTATGATATAGAAATTTGTTGTCATGATCTTTTGTTTCTATTTTCACTCTTTCTTGTGTGTATATTTTATTAAAGTAGCACCTGGGGTTGTGAGAAACTTCTTGTTTTTACTCCAATTATGGTCAATTTTAGTGGACTAATTATTTGCTTTTATACTGCAGTACCTTTAATATTGGCACAAGGTTTGTGGATGGAAGAGCTCCATATCCAATCTTCCTTGCTTAATGCTTTCAACCAATATGTTACATTATTCTGTTACTAAATTACAGTATTGTAGAGCTTTCTGCATATGTTTTGATTGCATGTCTTTAGCTTGGAAGATGTTGTCTTTGTTCATTTTTGCAAAGGCTTGCCCTATGATATAGAAATTTGTTGTCATGATCTTTTGTTTCTATATTATCAAAATATTATTATTCATGGTTGGTACTGAATGCACACATCTTTAAGGATTTGACATTTACCCTTGATCTACTTTTGGGATAGGACTATGTTTATTGTTTTCCTATGGTGCTCTGCTCATGATCATTTAAAAGGAGTTTGTTTGCATTTCTGACTTTTCTCTATTAAAAAATCTTTGGTTTCTATTTTTCTTATAAAATTCCTTTTCCTATAGAAGTAGTTGGCATGGGCTAGTTCTCATTGCTGTAATCACAAGTTAATAATATTGATATGCAGTTTTGGTAAAACTTGATTGTAATGAAGCCTGAAGTATTCGTTGCTCATCAAAGAAACCACAGTATAATGGTATATTTGCCTGCACTAACATTTTGAGCTTTGATCCAAACTTTCAGTGTTGGCTCTTTGTGCGATATTTTCTACCTCCTTCAGTGTTTTCCTGGCATACTTTATTATAATTTTTAAAGTAGCACCTGGGGTTGTGAGAAACTTCTTGTTTTTACTCCAAGTATGGTCAATTTTATACTACAGTACCTTTGAATCTAGTCACAAAGAAAGGCGTTTAACATTGAATATGCCATTGGAAGAGCATGCAGCTAAGATCTACACACGTGCAATTTTGTCAAAGTTTAGTGATGTGCTTTCTCATAGTTTTCCTCTCTCAAAGGAGAAACTTGGGAATGATGGTGAGTGGGTTACCTATCGAGTTTTTAATAGGAAAGAGAAGGATTATTCTACGGCTGTGAAGATGAAGTTGGAAAATAGAGAAGCTAGATGTTCTTGTCAGTATTTTGAGTTCATGGGAATCCCATGTGAGCATATTATTGCTATTTTTTGGTTGAAAATGTAGAGCAGATCCTTGAACATATGATTTTGCGACGCTGGAGCATGGAAGGAAATGATATAATTAATACAAATAGGGACATTTGTAATTTTGGTGGAGAAGGATCCTTCGTGGCTTTGAAATACGCTCTTGAGTTTCCAAACTTATTAAGCTTGCAGATAGGTCCAATGAAGAAGCTAGATTTGCTTGTGATGGTCTTGATTCTCTCAATGAATCTTTAGAAAAATTTCCAAGACGTGATGATAGTATTGGTCTTGAGGATTTTGATTCACATTACTTGAGTTCTCAAACTGAAGAGTCATCTATGATGAGATTGAATGATCCCAATATTTCACAAATGAAAAGTCGAAAAAGGGAGTCACACAATATCTCACAGGAACGTAGAATTCATAGCGGGATTGAAGAAGCATCAAAGATACTAATATTTGTGGAAATTGCAAGAAACGATGACATAATAAGCGTACATGTGGAGAGAAAAAATTACATTGACTTTAGTTTTTTATTATTATTTTGGGCTACATGACAATTGTTACATGATTATATTTAATTTATTATTTCTTTTAATCGGTATAAGATGTATTGTTTTATGGGTTTTATTAATCTCCTTTTGCATAAGATAAATTATGTTATGTTGTAGAGAGAAAATAGGTGGGTCCCACCATTGTAAGAAAAAAGAAAAAAAATAAAAAGTTGGGGTGCGAAAATCGAAGGGAGAGAAAATAAGATAAGATGTCTCATGTGAAATGAGAGTAATATTTCCCTTGTTTTATTGTATGTAATTAGAAGTCCTATATAAACTAGTTCAGGAGCATCAACGAGTTAAAATGCTTATAAAGTACGTTTGATGCTACAATTGTTAATAAATGGACAATCAACTTCCATTGCATATTTGTCATGCGCCATAAGGTGAAAGGTGCTAATCTACATAATGTCTTAGACCAATGCATTTCATAAAGTGTAATGTCATAGTTGTTAAAATTTTGAGTACGCTAATCCATGTAATTTTTTATAATACACCACGTGAATTAATACTTTGTATAATGACATATCACATGGATAATTTATCTCATATTGATAATTTATATCAAGACGATCAATGAATCAAAATGTAAGGATTTTTTTGTTTTTTTTTTCAAGTATGTCTAATAAGGAAAATGGCAACTGTGTTGATGTTGCCAAATATTGTCCCTGTTCTCGTCAATTATTCACTTTTGACACATAAATAGTCATTCTTCTCCCCATACCATTAAACAAAGTCCCTCTTAGCAGCAACATCGTTACCTGGCATCATGTGAACGACTTTCAGCCAAACATCATGCAGAAGGAATTCCCCATTAAAAAATGTAATGGTCACCTGTGTCATCAATGTTCTATTACATTAGCTTCCATACAAGACACAAATTCAAAGCTCTGTTCTCTCCAACTTGTTAAAGGAGATATTTTAGATTCAAAACCTGTCCAACGAAAAACATCTTTTATATATACAAAAGAAGTTAATAATACATTGTAGGGTAACTAAAAAAATACATGTGATTTCACAATTCTATTAGCTTCGGCTCTGAAGAGACTTGCTTGCTTGTGAGGCTAAGACCATTGCCTTGGCTCTTGTGCTCATCAACATTAAATCTCGCACTGCACGGCACGGCGCTGATGTTGCCTGACCTTTTCCAGTGAGCAAGCATAACTGCAGCGACTTGGAGGAACAACTCAGTAAACACCAGTGCTTGCAAGGATACAAATATCTTTCTTGTTTCCTTCACCAAATGAAAAGATGTAGCCTAAATCTGGAAGGGAGCTTCCAGGTATGGTGTCACATTTTACAGGAGAACCATGTGCACAACTGAAGGGAATTCTGTTAGTGCTGAAATTCCCATCATTTTATGGTTTTTCAGTGGCTGTCCATATTGCACCCGCATATAGATCTCCAAACAAGTTCCTGAAATTCAATGATTAAGAATAAGTAACATAATAGCTGATACTATATTGCATAGATAGAGGTCATTATTTGTTCTTATAGAGTCTAAAGTATGCACATCATGATGGGGATGTTTAGTGAAAAAGTTTAAATAAAATATTTTGTTCCATTCTCAATCAAACTGTAAAAAGCTTGTTTACCTTCCATATGTGCAAGGTAAACAAAAAGAACATTATGTTAGAACGATTCAACAGCATTATAAAATCTATAGATACATCTCTATAATTGGATAACATACATTGATGCTTAAAAAAAAGAAAACACAAGCACACTCACCAAAAGCATCGAAATCCAAATTTCATATAATAAATATCAATTTCAGAATTTCCAAGTGCAAGAATATCTCAGTTGACATATTTGCATAAAGCCTGTGCAGATACATATACATACTTCAAAAAGGGAGTGGGAGTGGGATATAAATTCAAAAGGATGTGACATTATGAACAAGTTTGTGTTTACTATATTGAGATATGAGGAATATAAATATCAGGTTAGTGGATCCCCTCGGGTTTGAGTAGCTGGCAGCTTGCACATCTGACCTCATTACAAGAGAACATGAATTTTTAAGCCATATCTTTGATGAGTCCCTACAATTTAACTTCCTAGGAATTGATTGATGAAATATTTTACCAAATCCGAGCACTAAACATGATGGTAGAGGTTGACTCAAAGCTATGATCCAACCCAAAGTTCGTGAGTTTAAAACAACTAGAAAAATAGACTTAAGATTCTCCTTTCCTAGTGAGGCATAATTCATGAGAGAAGTAACTCAAGTTGTTAATATGTTTCAGGATTTTGGGTTCTCTTACTATTATTATTTGGGTGGTTACATTTTGATGGTATGTACACAGGTTTGCTGTAAAGATAGTAGACAGTGCTACTGCCCTCTATAGGACAGATTTCTCTAGAAGAGGGGAGCTTTCACCCGGCAAATGCATCTTGCCAAGTTCCTTATGAGCCTTCAGAAATTAGCAGATGAGGTAATTCAAAGTAATAAAAAACACCCAAATAAAGAAAATTACTACAATATACAAAATATACCCAAAAATTAGTGGTCGATAATGGCTATGTTGTATACTAATCGTGCCCCCTTCTGAATATGATTTCCAGCCACTGCAAGCAAGACCCAAATAATAAAAAAAGAGCATAATTTTGGTGATCGAAGAAAAAATAAGGATAGTAGACAGTGCTACTCCCCTCTATAGGACAGATATTCTTTAAACTGATACTAGAAGAGGATAAACAAAAAATCAGCATAATTTAAAGATCAAAACTAAAGTACGCACCTTGCAATGTGTGGAGTGCGGCGGCGGCGGCGGCGGCAGAGTGTGGCGGCTCGGAAGCGGTGATAGGAAACGACGGCTATGGGCGGCTGTGGTAGAGTGCGGCGGCTCGGCGACGGAGATGGGCAGCGGCGGCTGTGATGGGCAGAGAGTATAGTGAGAGAGAGAAGGGAAGAGTGAGGGGCGCACAACTCTGAGAGGGATCAACAGTGGTGGGTCTGCGGTAGGCAGCGGCTGTGGCGAAAGAGTGCAGCGGCTCAGCCGCAGTAATGGGCAGCGGCGGCGGTGATGGGCAGAGAGTATAGTGAGAGAGAAGGGAAGAAAGAGGGCCTTATAAGGATCTAATCTGGAACGTTGGATTGTTACTACCAATTTAACTGTGAGATTGGTTCGTAGTAACATGGTAGTAACTTTATATGGTGGTTACAATATCTAGCTCTATGAATTTTATCAAATTACGCTTCGTTAATTCTCATAACTCCCAAAATGACGTAATTTTAGGGTGATATGATATAATTTTATGTCAAGTGACATTATAAAAGATAAACTCATATATATATATATATATATATATATAGATAAAATTATTTCTTCGATTGCTAGACGTCCAGCAATAAATTTTATATTATTGATTGGTTATTATTTCCCGTATTTAATGTTTTCATTCTCCTTTGTGTGGTTATGATTCTCCGTATTTAATGTTTTCACCCACCTTTGTATTGTTATAATTCCCCGAATTTATTTGCTGGACATCAAGCGGCCGGAGAAAAGTAAAGACCACACACACACACACACAATGTTATTAAAACCGGCCCGGTCATTGACCCGGTCGAGGTACTGGGTCACTGGTTCAACCAGTGGGTCATTGGTTCAACCACATAAACCGGTAATTACATGCAATTTTTATAATTTATATTAAAAAATTATAAACATATTCAGATATCTAAAAAAAATTATAAAAATTTCAAATATTTTAATATAAAAAATAATAAATCACATATTATTGTCCAATAAAAGATCAAACAAAAATATAATGATCTTGATACGGGACTTTAGGTTCAGAAAACTATATCTCTAACAATAAATCAAATCAAATTTTTATGCATAGTCCATAATTGAGATAATATTAGTGTTGTAAGTTCGTAACTTATATAAGTCAATAAACAAAAAAATTCAAATATGTCCATTATGATTTTATTTTATTTTTTAAAAAATTAATTTTTTTTTTTGGGACCGGGCCGGGTCACCGGTTAACCGACGGGGTCACCGGTTTTAATGAAAACCGGCCGGGTCGAACCGGGTCGCACCGGTTCTAATGCATGACCGGTCTGTTGCTTCAACCGGACCGGTTATATGACCGGTTTATCAATTCCCGGGTCGACCCGGCCGGGTCGGTCCGGGTTTCTTAACACTGCACACACACACATATATATATATATAGAGTAAATCCCCTTTTAGATCCCTAACAAAAAATACAATCTCTACTTTATTCCCATACAAAAAAAAATAGTCCTGAGGTCCTTAAGATATTCAAAGTGGACTCATTTAGTTGAAATTATGGTCCCTCATATAATAACCCTAAATATATGATTTTTTTTTTTTAAATTAGAGGGTTATGATGAGGACCTTATGGTCATAAATGAAATGAGAATGAAATTCTAAAAATTTTGATACCCATATTGAGGGTATTATGCACAGATGAATTTTCATCTGTTAATTTTGACTGCTGACGTAATAATAGTCTGTAGAATAGCTCCAAGTTAGCAAATTATAGTTAGAGAGCTAATCTAATGATATAAACATCATGAATGAGGTTAGGATATGATTTGATGAAGATTGTTACCCATATTGGGGTATTTTTGAAAAGTCACTTCTGTCAAGTATTTTGTACTGCTGTAGCAACAGCCGGTAGAATCCTGAAACGGGAAAAAGATGAGAAAATAGAAATAAAGACCAATATATGCCTAACAAGTCATAATTAGACCAAAAATGATAAAGTTAAGAAGATTATGAAATCCGAGTACCGTTAAGAACACTGGTAAAGACTACAGTGCAATTAAACAACTGTTAGTAGATCTGCGATCTACTAATTAAATTTTTAAGTTATGAACATGATAATTAGACAAAATTAATGTTAAGTACTTAAAATTAGAGTCTTGGGAGTTTCTGGGTAAAAATTTGACGACGGATCAGTTAAAAATTACACCGGGTCTCACTAAAGGACGAATGTCACTTAAGTGACATGGTGTAACATCCACGTCTCGAGCCGGTTCAATTAACATGCATATGATATAAACAGAAACAACAAAAGACTTAACTTACGAAAATACGAGCTAACTTTTTCTTTTTCTTTTTAAATTCTCATTTGACGTAAACGAAATCAGACAAAGTTTCCTCTATAAATCGAACAACTGGGGATTTTTCAATCCCACTCAGAATCATTTCCTGATAACAGTTTATACAGCACATCAATCCAAAAGTACCAGTCATGCAAATATAATCAGATACCCATCCATGGGCGCATGCATAACTTGGCTTAGTGCCACTAATCTAACAGCATGCAGTCCAATACATAAACATAACTGAATACTACATCATCATATAACGTGCCTGAATACTCAAATGTACATGCATCAAACTGACAGACATGTACAAAACATATACAGGCCATATACAAAATAAAGGATCAATGTCATGATCCATCAAAGGCGGAAATACAAAATGACATGAATATACTTCCAAAAAGTAGTAGCCTACAGCCACTCAAAATCCGATCCGTCAACTGCCTCAGCCACGTATCGCGTCCCTGCCTAGTGAGGACTCACCGGGAATCTGGGCACCTGAAAATATGTCCCCAACGAGGGGTGAGATTACAAATCTCAATAAGCTCCAGGTTTATAGAGAATTCTCCATACCCCTGGCTCACTCCTGCATGAAAGTCAGATACAGAGTATACAAATACAACATATAACAGATATCATAACAGAACAGAGCATATATCCATATCATATCAGAGATGTGCGCCGTCATTCCCAAGGGAGGACCCTAAGCGGAAATCAACGCACGTGTTCCCGAGGGAGGACCCCAAAGCGGACATCAGGGTACTATACAATCAATGACCAGAGATTGTTACAAAAATCATATTACAGAAGTCATATCAGAGCAAAACATATCATGTTATCAAAAAACTCTATATGAATGCATCTATACAAAGCATCTAAATCACAGTCATACAGTCCAACCATAGTTCACTAACCATATTGGAGAACTCAAGCAGGAAAAGACTCCTTAAACATAGAGCTTACCTCTTGAAGCTTTACCAATACCCTTACTTGTTGCACAAGTTACTTATATATCTTCAAGAGATTCTGATTCCTTTAGTCCCTAGGTACACCTAGAGCAAGAATCCACAAATACCAATTAATAAAATGCCATCATGCCTAGCTTTCACATAAGGCATACATTTTATCGCTTCTTTTCATTTCTTTTCATTTTTGCCAATCCTATGCCAATACACAAGTCTAGACCCCTTTATAACCGTTGGTGTTCTTTAATTTAATCATCCATTCCCTTACGAATTTCCAACATAAATCATAGCATTTTACTTTAAAGGACCGTGGGCCTAAAATTAGGAAATCAATATATTTTTCCATGATTTCTTTTCAAACCATTTCACTTCATGACTTATCATTTTCATACTTTGAAACACACATATTTTATTAAAATAAAATATGACAACATCTTTCCCTAAACACCCTATATGTCGAATCCTTTAAGGGAATTTCCAAGGATCCTTCTCTTTTACAATACATTTTCCTCACTTAATTTAACAACTACACGTACATATATATATATATATATATATATATATATATATATATATATATATATACCAAGTTCCAATTTAATTTTTGGGAATCTCAAGCTCTTTAAATCCTTCAAGGCCGAAACATCAAGGGTATGTTTCAAAGGATTTTCTTTCAAATTTAACATTCTTACTAACTCATCAAATTTCCTCTTATTCAAGCACATTAAACCTTCCCAATACATACAATAAATCTTTGTGCATCACCCCTAATTACCCTATCAAGGCCGAAATCTAGGGTATGTCACCATGGGATTTTTTTCCAATTTTTATACATGTTCATATGCTTATTCCACATTCCTATATCCAACACATCATCAATCCATCATCAATTCAAATTTTAAACTAATTTATTTCACACCAACACATGCTCACAATTTCTATGACACAAACCATCAAAATAACATCATGGAAACAAAGGTTTCTTACCACTAATCAACTTCCCAAAGCCTAGAAAGCAACCTCCAAGCCAAGCTCCATCAAAAACTCACTTTTTCTCTTCCAATGAATAGTAACTCAAAAATGAGAGGAGGAATAACTCTTCACACACTCAACTATAGCTCAAATGGATAGGTGGAATGGATTCATTGAGTGGTTTCCAATCAATTTCATGTGGTGGGTCATTAGATTTGGTGGATGGATGGTTTAGAAATCAAAGAAAGAAAAACCAAACCCCAAGCCCCCCCTTGACAAGTGCAACTCGGCCATATAGGCTATATAGGCACATGTGGCCCTTTTTATCGGATGTTTTTCTATCGCATATTTTAACTTAAACTGACTCGGAACTCACTTAAGGCTACAAACATATTTTTATTTTTCTAAAATCATTTACATTAATTTTTATTTCCTAAGGAACAATATTCTTAATTTACAGTATGGTTTCTGCACCATTTTTGACGAAATGCACTGTGAACCACTAACTGTACTTCGTTTACTTCTGAACTTAAAACTTATTAACTTAGCATTTCCTTGGGCCCATATTGACTTGTTTGGCATATATTGGACTTTCTTATTCTTATTTCATCAATTATTTGCTTCTGGACTCTACCGGTTGCTTAAACAGCAGTACAAAATACCCGGTAGAAACACTATTCACGAGATTTTCACGGAAAGTGCCAGACTATACAATTTTTTGTTCTGAACTCATATTTGTCATCAGAATTGTCAAATTATGTTTCTAAAATCATTTTGCTCATTTAAGCTCTACCGGTTAATTCACAAAACTGAAAATTCTCCGGCAGAACGCACTGTTCATAACATAGTCATGATTACAGTCAAAATACTCGAAATCGCTCACTGAATCTAATTATGACATTTAAATCCTTCAATTAAATCTCTAACTAAGATTTACCAGTTAGGGTCATTATACATGGCAACCCTAATTAGGGCACCTTCCCCTCCCATTTTAGATCTGATTCCAGCA